CGAATCCAACGATACGGGAGGTGGATTTTGATTTATCCAATAAAACAAAATAAATATTAAATATCGAAGTGTTGTTGGGTAGGGTGGTTTTAGGATTTCCGTACGAGGATACAGATTACAGTATACGGGATTGGGTTCATGCAGGAGCATTAATGGATGCAAGGGCACGCACCCTGTTAACCCTTGTTTGCATGGGTCCACGTATCAGGGTAGTTAGAAGGGGTGTCCCGACGCAGGTGAAGGTATAGATGCGAAGGTACTGTCATCCAAATACGATTTCCATGGAGACTATCATATCGATGATCACAGGTCAAAGGAGTCGATACTGATACTATCTTCGTACAGACGTACATATACACGTATCCCAATAGGATGACCTGCTTATGGCAAGGCTAGGTGGATGCGTATATAGATACTAGACGTACCATCCAGGGAAATAAATGTTAGCGGTGATAAGGGACACGGGAATGGTCCGCACAGAGACAGGACTCGGGTATCGTTCCGTCCTGGAGCGCTAATGAATTTGGAGAATCGATATCACAGCCCGCCAACTCGTACAAGGGCCCAAGCCACAGCCTTCTAGAGTCCTCGGTGACTCCTAGAGATCAAAGGAGCACCAAATGAGACCACGAATATGCGACTGCCGCGTGCACAACAATGACATAAAAAAAAATATGTAAACGTCGCAGCGAACCGAATCCAGCGTAAGTAACATAGTCGTAATACAGTCATTGTATATAACCCGGTCCGCGAGCCATTAACGTAATCTAGATGCCACGCGGATAAGGCGCAAATTGGCCCGATTATAATCTCTCGACACGCGGATTGATCGGGCACATCGGCCGGTCGCACAGGCTAGGCTATACCCACTAGCTACTCGGGAGAGAGAGCGTCGTATTCCCGTTCGACGTGGCGATCGATCAACCGGAAGGAGACCGTTCTAAAGGAATTTCCTGCCGGTCGGCCAGGCGAAATATCGCTTCGCCTTACGTTTTAAACGTTTACCATCACAACCGCCATCGACAGGACTCAGGAACACCCTTATACGCTATACACTACGTGTGCTATACGTATATACTATAGCTGCATTGTGCGCTGTATCTTGACAGGGGTCTTATATCTATACGGAAGTTCTGAGACAGGGAAAGAAAGAAAAAAAAAAAGGAAGAAAAGCCCAGAAGTACAGAGCGCGGAGGAGAGGGGGTCCTATCGTGCTCTTCTACTGGAAGAGATTGCAGCGCAGATTGCAGCTGTGTGTCTGGAGTATCCGGCGGCGCGCGAGGCACGCCTTGGAAATAATTGCGCCCTCGCCATCGCCATCGGTCAATACGAGACACACAAAGATAGAATAGCGGTGGCTTTACGTTGCTGGAAAGTGGTGGCGTTAGCGTGGAGGACGGGAGGGACCTCGAGGACCCGGAGGTGGATGGAGAAACCGTGGAGAGGGACTGGTGGAGAGCGCGAAAGGGTCGGAGGACGTGGGAGACGTCGGAGGAATAGTGAATGGGTGACGGGAGGGGTTGTGCGGAGAGGGTGGGTTTGGGGTGGGTGGACGCCAGGAGTGCAGCTAACAGATTCTATCTGCGGAATCAACGTCAGGTTAACGGTAATGTTTTTAGAACGTGGCGCGCTTACGGGGTTGGTCTAACTGGAATGGGGATGTGTTCCCTGCCCTACAACCTGGGCTGCTTGGTATCACTATACGTACAGTCTATATTCTCTATACTCCATAGTCTAACGGCAGAGGCCGAAGCAAGGTTGGCGCAGGCAGACATTGACCCCCTATTCGCTCTAGGGATGGCTGCTTCCCGCCGAAGAGAACGAGGGTTTGGAACGAGGGGAGCGTAGGAACCAGTGGCGTCTCCCAATCCTTTCCTACCCTGCGCTATGCCCTTGCACTATTCCACTCTCTATACTCTACTCCATGAGTTTCCACTGGCTCTTCATTCCCCGTACCTCAACCAAGCCCCCTCTTCTACTACTACTACTTCAGATACCACTCAACCTGCGCTAGGAGTCTTAAACTCGCGTCATATCATATTTAGCGATTCACCCTCTTTTCATTAAGGACGTTAATGATGGTTACTAGCAGTTATGCCACGGTAGGGGAATCACTGAGGCTTGGCTAATTTACCGGAAATACTTGCTCGATCAACGGGATGCGATCGTCTAATGACGCAGATTTTAATTGTCGACTCGAACTTCACTGATCATTCGTTATGTTTAATGGGGAAAGGGATATACGAGGGAGAGATAGTATCTGTGGTCTGCGTTTTTTTATTTTTCAGTTATAACGGATGTTCCAAATGAAAGCAGACAGTGTAGGTAATTTAATCGGCGTAGATCTTTTTAGCTAAGCTATCAGGTACGTTATAACGTACGTATAGACTTTTCTGAGCTTTTTCACTCTTCCTATAGAGATACGTGTTTTTCACTGAGAAGTCAATTAAATTTTACGACTGGCTGTAATCCATAAGTGTATTCGTTCAATTTACAGATAGCAGTTCGAAACTACTGAAGTTTGGAAGCTATCCATGAAAACTTTACGTCTATGTAATATCGAGAATGACTCAATTGCGTGCCAATAATCTGGTAATATCAAAAGCGTCTAAAGACGAAATAATTCCCTCTTTTCTTTGTATCGGCTATTCAGTTCGAAATTACAAGCCCATCAAATCACGAGGAACGTATTCAGAGCTGATCATATTTAGGGGTAGATACTATGCTCCACAGTGACGATAATACAATATAATATACGTAACAAAAAAAGACACGTGCACGACATTCATAAACAAACAAAAATTTCCTGTAAAAAATCACGTTGAAACCAAGAAAAATCACAGAGGAAGCAAATAAGCTTGAGTGGAAAAAAAAATAACAAAGAATTTCAAAGAATCAATTAAAAAGAAGAACGAGGGTACGTCCTCTTGTGAAAGACCGCTTACAGAAATACTTGAGCAAGTTATAATTAGTTCCGCAGTTTAGTATTAATTTCATTCTCTGGCACAAGGGTGCGCACGTGGTACTTATATCGAGATTTTTTATCTTCGCATTCTTACGAATTTTCCTTCGTCCCTTGGCAAGTATTTTTGATCAAATGAAAAAAGAAATCCCACGTGTGCCAGTAGCTACCCCATATCGTGTAGGGCGGCGTGTACGTATAAGCTGCCATCTAAGAACATACAGTCCCCTGATGTCGCTTATAGCACCAATGGTAACCTTCGAATGACGTCGGAGCGTTCTTTTCTTTTTCCTTTGCTTTGCTTTTTTTGTTCTTTTTTTTTTATTTCATTCACCCTCGTACCTCACGTATCCGTAAACACGTCGCGACGAAATCAATATAGCCGTCGGTGAGATATGAAAATCCATGTACCCATATGTATAATATAAGTATGTACCGTAGATAAGTATGGTGTACGAGTCGTTTGGCGAAACGATGTATCTTGGCACGATAAAGATAGCAGCCATGTAAACGGTTAAAGTCACCGATAACAATAACGCGTCGTTGCGTTGAATATCGTGTTGAAGCTGAACACGCATGATGACACTTTCGATATTATATTGTCGAGCATGCATAAAATAGTTCTGGATATACAGGGTGAGTCGTTTAACTTGGCACAAACTATTATCTCGAAATGGAAGCATTTTACGAAAAAAAATTTTTCGAACAAATTTCGTTTGGTTTTGAGAGGGGAAAAAATGCAGTGCCGTTATTTTTTATTCGCGGCGGTTTTCAAGGATTTTTCAAGGTCAACCTTATTTTTTTAAAATGAGAACCCATATTTTTATTCCAGACTGTTATGCTATATAAAAATCCAATTAACTTTTGTCTGAAACATTTTTTAATACGACCAGTATTTTCAATGTTATTTCAACATCAAGCGTAGACCCCGGGATTGTTAATAAGTATAGCGAGTTTGTAGATACGAAAATTGGAGGAGAAGAAGAAAGTTAATCAATGTTTTTTTCTTGCGTAAATAACCTATTTATTGTTAATATTTCCAAATAATATTATAATAAATATTCAAAATGGTGTCCTTCAACATCAATGCATTTTTGTACTCTCTTAAACTAGAAAAAAGCCTTAGTTAATTTTTTCTTCTTTTGTTGAAAATACTGGTCCTATTAAAAAATGTTTCAGACAAAAGTTAATTGGTTTTTGTACATCATAACAATCTGCAATAAAAAATATGGGTTCCCATTTAAAAATGCCAAGTTAACCTTCGATGGACCTTGAAAACCGCCGCGATTAAATATAACGATACAGCACTTTCTTTACCCCTCGAAACCAAACAAAATTTGTTCGAACATTTTTTTCGTAAAATGCTTCCTTTCCAAGATATTCGTTTGTGTTAAGTTAAACGACTCCTGTATAACAAGAAGCATTGCGTATATTTTCTCCGAGACACAAGATCATCGATAACAGCGTGTTAATCGTAAAAATTCAAATTTGGTAAAAAAATTTACGAAGTATATTTTAATAAATTTGAATGTTTTTTTCAAAATTTCACTTACTTTTTTTTCATGTATTTTCTACAACTTGCTATCTCGATACCTTATCTTCCCTTTTATCTCGCGCGAATTCATTCCCAATACCCAAAACCCTTATCTACAGAATTTTTCCAGCGACGTTATAGGGAGAAGCATATAGAACGAAACGAAAAATTCATTTCCCCCGGAAATAGGATGAACGCGAATTTCGCAGCAGGGATGCTGTGTGGGTGCAACGAGTGCAGAGGATCTCTCAGTTCTCCTCCTGGTTCGCTTAATAGATTTATTAGCTCCGACTTTTCTATCCTTTCCAGCTGCACCGTCATTCCGATTTAAATCCCGGCTACAATTCCAGACATGTATAAAATCCACCAGGGTCTGAATATGCTTTTAAATAAAATATTTTTTTTTATTACGAGTAAACTAGTTGGTCTGTCCGGGTTTAGTGTTACCTCGTGAAAAATGAAAGGGGATGATTTTTTTTCTAATAATCTGTCAGACTAATATACCTCGTCGACTTGACGTGTAACGCAGGGTGAAAAAATTGTGTCCTCTAGTAGAGCATGGGGCGTATATAGTGTGATCCGTCTCCGTTGAACTCGTTGCAGAAATCTCACCAGCGAGGACGACAAACAGGCCCCGTAGATTGTAGTTCACCGCAGTTGATTTTATCATTCGCGTGTATAATCGGGTATTTCACTCACCACACATCAGCCGTATAAGATATCGTAACGCGACGCACGACATAACATTGGGCCGAGGGTCCGATATTTATTGGCACCCTACCATCGCGCCCGTTACGGACCGACTGAAAACGCGAGGTCTCCGTCGTTTGAGGTTATGTCGGAGCCTCGGGGGTTGCAGGGTGGCCAAAGCCGGGGGGTGGAATCGTGGTTCGCCGGTGACTGCCGTCGTTCGCCCACCGGCTAAACCAACCCCTAGAATCGCGCATGCGTCCAGTCACCTCAACTTCATCCCTCACCCACCAGCATCACGAGCAACCATCCCTACCGCGTAGCTCGACTCTTTCGTCCTGCATTAACCTAACCTATCCTTATAGCCCTTTGCGTTTAATGCACCCGTTCCGTTCGCAAAATTCAAGTATTTACGTCTAAATAATCCCAGTCCTATTTAATGGCACTAGGATTTGACCTCGAAGATTTCTGCCAAGAGAAAGGTAAAATAGGTTAGGTATAATCAATCGGGCTTCCAGACGTCTTTCAAGGGGATTCCTGATGTAATTGTCAATGGTAGGAGCACGGTCGGAAAACTTTCGGGATCGAAGAGACGCGCAAGAAAGAGAGATTGAAAGGTTCAAAAGCGTGCTTGGGATTTAGCATGGCAAAGTCAGTACGTAGAAAATCGCGCTAACGCATTTTGAAGCTGTTGAAAAAACACGTCTAAACATGTTCCAGAATTGAATAATATAAACGACGGTGCGACCTTAAAGACTTGACATATTTTGACCCCCTCGATCTTCGATGCGATAGTACAAATCTCTATTTTCCTCTCTCTCTCTCTCTCTCTCCCAACCCTCTCCCTCTCCCTCTCCCTCATCCCCTCCCTCCCCCTGTCCTTCCTCACTCGCAATCTACTCACTCTTTTTCATTGGATCCTCTTCCTGACCATCCTACCGGTCAAACTGTGTCCCGAATAATATCAACCGACTGCGAAAAAGCTACCAGGCGCGCTTGCACGCACCGACGCATCGATGACCCAAATCAGGAATTTATTAAAACCGCGATAGATAAAAGTTATCCAGTGAAAAATAGAGAAACCCGTGAGATCGTGTCTAGTGATAAGTAAGTGATCTCGGATAGGAGGCGGACGAGCGTTGGCTGCCAGCACTTCCACCAGCACTACCACTTGTACATAAGAATTCTTCGTACGATGGGATATCTATCCTTGCGACCCGACGAGTATACTTATAGATACCAAGGTACATCCAGCCCAAGTTGAACTATAGCTAGCGATAGCGAGACGTAGTGGCCCACGGCGCCATAGACCAGCTCAGGTTTACCCTAGACCAGATAAGTCGACTTTACCGTCGTGCCCGGAGGACCGAATCTACGATGCAGATCATCGCTCGAAGAACTTCTATTATTTATCTCAATCCCAAAGAACACGGCTGCCATCAACCTAAACAGACCAACCTCAACTCAGGACACATAAAGGCTGATCGACACACCCATCAGCTACTACCTGCTGCAACAAACTTCTCCAGTCAAAGTTTCCGGGAATGAAAATGCAGGCTGCACTTTGAGGGCAGATACAAGTGCATTCAGAAGCGAGTAAGACGGACCTGAAGGAGAAGCAAGAAATGAGGAAGAGATAATGGGAAGAACTGATGCTCTAGCGTCTGCAAGGACCACCAGGAACATTGATTCTCGTAGCAGCGTTGGTCGTGTGCAAAGGATTCTAGGATCCTACGTGGGTAAGGATTGCAAGGAGCAACACCAGAAAAAGTAATGACGAAGAGACGGGAGAGAAAACCAATGAGGATAAGAAAACAAGGATGAGGGTATAAGGACCCAGGACCTAGGGCGAGTCTGAAAGGTGGTGGGGTTTGATCGTTTACCAGTAGCGAGGTGGATGCAAGAAGACGAAGACGAGATGGAAGAAGAAGAAGATGGAGGAGGGAAAAGACACGAAAGAGGAAATGGGAAAATGAGATGAACCGTGAATAATTATGTATTGCTCTTAATGCTTTATGGTTTACAAGGAGGGAGCAGGAAGTTCGAAGAATATTAATGTCAAAGGTGCTTTCTTCATTTTACCTTGGTACCGGTTCTTATTTATACCGTCAGCGACGAAGACGACGATGCGTTGTCGGCACTGGGATCAAAAGATTCGTAAAAGATTCAATAGCTTTTTTTTTCTCCGCAAACCACTTCAATCGGAACAAACCGTGTGACGGTATGAAATCGATAATCAAATTTCCAAAGCTATTTCATATAGCGTATCCTACAATTAACCATCCTCTACTTATACGACTTAATTATACATGTAGTGGATGATTTAAAAAAAATGCCATCAATCACCACAGATTTTAACAAGGTCCTTTATTGGACCCCAACGGAATCAACGAGTCTGAAGATATTTTTCACGAAAAAGTAAATATATCTGTCAAACGTATTTACGACGTTGAATAATATTTGAATATCAAAATCATCCTGTAACCTGAATGATATAAAACTATGTTATAATTCAACGAAGTATATTATTATTTAAACAAATATTCCAATAGTGAAGTATCTTTTGAAGTTTAAAGGATATCACGGACCACGTGAGCCGGTTATCACAGTATCCAAGAGCAGGAAACTTTGATAAGATACGCTTTGCTTATTCCATAGACATCTAAGGATGTTGAGCAAGGCACATATTCTCAAAGATAACACACGCCGCATAATTAGTTAGATAATGATCGCACTGATATTATCCGGCGTCTACTGCCTCTCTAACCGTTTTATCCAATTAAGACTTGCTACCTTGCTTATCGCCGTAAACCTTATTACTTGTATGTCAGTGGGAACGCTTTGATAGCAGCTAACACTGTCTATATATAATCTATATTTTGTGACGTGGTAAATTTTACCCCGTCAGGTCCTCGGCGGGAACTGTAGTAGTACGCGGGAAAACGCGAATTTAGAGAAGAATCCAGGCAAGATCCCACCACCTCAAGAGCCAGCACTGTTGCGAATTTGCTGTTTCTGATTCTGTTGTTTTATTTTTCGCGGGCTTACCCAATTTCGAGAAGAACCAGCGAGGGATCATCGACGTGGGAGGAACGAGGACGAATCACCTCGCGACTAGGGTCAACTCTACGCACGATATCACCAGAGCTACATGAACTGGTCTACGCGTACCGAGTAACTAGCACGGAGCTATTACTCATCCTGCGTGACGGAGACCTACGAACTACGGAGCACCTGCAACGCACAACAACCCCTGAAGGAGGCCCACCGCTATCGACAACAGGAACGAAGACTCGCGAACTGGGAATCCGGGGACGCCTGGTGAACAGTTGCGAATTCCTATGCGACCTAGGAGCCCATCGCGGCACAGCCTGTTATCGCTGTTCCCGAATTGTATGAATTGTCGCGAAGACGCATTTTGAATTGTAGCGCGTGGTGCCACATTGGAGATTTCTGATCGAGGCCGAAGTGGTTGCGAATAAGGAGAGGATGATTGTCTCCGGTGCTGCCGATTACGATTGAGAGGGAAGGCTAATTCCTTCTTCTTGCCTGGACTGTCGACGATGCAAGTCGTGTTTTTGAGCCGTTTCGGTTTTCGGGGGTTAAAGTCTTAGGAGAATCAGGACGTTGTCCGAGGCCGCGTTAACGGGCCAAATTGCCGGAATGAAGAGGCTTAGAGATTTTGGTAAGCGAGTTGTTGTTTTGTGAGCGACGAAATCTCGTAATACCCCGCGTTTTGTACGTTTTCGGATGGTGCCTGTGGGCACGTGGGAGAAGTTCCCACGTGTAGAATCGCGTTCGTTTAGGGTACGAGATTCCGACGACCTGCAAGGGACTGTGTTCGCGTAAATGTGTTGCCCATCGTGGAAATATTTATTCGCGTTATTGTGAATCGATTTGAGTATGCCTGTGTGCGAATGATTGGTTTCCTCGGCAAGGGTTGAGTGTTTAATCTCCGAAATACGTTGTATCGCGTTCAAGTTAGGGACGTGTTGCCGAGAGACACGAAAAGGTCCTTGAGGTCGTGTTTTGGATGTGTCGCGCTTAGATCGCGTTATATTGTAGAATCGACTCATGCATTGAAATTGTATGTTTATAAAAAGTATATCGAATTGTTCGAAAGTATTTATTGAATTTGAAAATGTGAAAATTTTATCGGACTGTACAACAGTATTTATTGACTTGTATGAATTTGCCTGCGCAACAATTTTTTGTAGGAATTTATTATGACATTAATTAGAAATGAAAATGTCATCATTTTTGGCACTTTAGACCCTCACCATTTTTTGTGAATCACTTTTGTGTTTTAGTCGCGATCTTATTGGGTCTGCTACTTATTTTCGAAATCGTTGAATTTGAAAGTTTTGTACACGCGTGGTCGCGTTAGAAGTTGACGCATGAAATAAAGACCGATTTTGTTATTGTTGACCCAAACAGCCGATGTATTATTTTTGTTGGAGCTGTCCTTGATTTCGAAGATTCCCGACGCCTTCGCGTAGCTGAGTTAGCCAAGAGAAGCACGAACGACCGAATTGATCAGAACGGATACGTGATTTCCGTTTGGAATCTGGCGCCCAACAACAGGATTGTTAGAGTTTAGGATATGTGAGTTGTGCGCTGTTCAGTCTCACGTCTCCCGACAAGGCTCGATCGTAAAAATACGTCACAATATATATCCCACCCCATCTATAATATATACATATATATAAACTTGACGTTAGACTAATCGGAGATGATTTCGATATATTATATATGTATATATATACTATAATATAATTATATACAAAGCTAGTCAGTACAAACGCACCAGCTGAAGTTGGGCCCAAGTGGCAGACACGGCAGCGTGGGCCTTTCCAAAAAATGGCATAAACGCACACTGACAGTTCGCATAAGTTATGTTGTTGAAATATTTCAATAGCTAGGTTACCTAAATAATAAATTAATATTGTAAACGCAAAATGTAATATCAGTCAACATTTATTTTTACAACAAATTGCAATAACAATCAAATCTGCAAACAGGTAGTTATTCAGAATCGTTTGTACCCGTTTGTACTGCCTTCGTTTTTTTCCATGGTCCATAGAGTCTAGTGTACAAGTGCTCGTAAGTTGTTTATAACGTTTGTACATGTTGAGTGCGTACACACTTATGTAGACATCGATTATATGCATGTAACCACATTGGCATATGTAG